CGTGACAATAACAAGCACAGCCCAATCAACCCCCACCCGGGAGCACGCTATGCGGTTGTGCGTGCTGCTGTCACGTGACAGTGAAGGGCACAAGTCCAGCCCCCACGGGGGGCGCGGTGTGCGCATGTGCGTGCTGAGGGAGGCACTGCGCAGGCGCCGCAGCCCCCTCCCCTTCGCAGTCGTGACTGTACCCGCCCCCTACCCGGCTCGGCCAATCACAGACCTCGGGGCCTCTCGGCTGTTGGCTGATGACGCGGGCGGGCTGGAGGAGGTGTCGTAGTCTGAGTCTGCTCCCACGAAGCCGGTCACGGTGAAGGTGGTATTGCCAGGTGCACGACCATTACTGTATTTGTACAATAATTTCGACCCTTGCACGGTGTCCGGCCAATAACAGTAAAAGTGCCCAAAGCCTACTATAATTTTTTGAGCAACTGATTTGTGCACTACGTGCAAAACTCAAATCGTTTTCAGAAGGCCTTAGCTGGGTTTTGGGTTTGCTGTCAGTACTTTTGTATGTCTGCTGGCCTCGAAATAAAAAAAATATCAACTTTGATGGCCTAATTCTCACTCCTTGGCCAGTTACAGTGAGCAATATAAAGTAAATAAGACTTATTGGCAGACTTATTTGCATATTTTTTCAGTTTTGGGTACCTTTTCAGCAAATGTGATAATTTTGAGCTTCCAATACAATAATTTAAGACTCAGGTGTCCTGAAGTGACGTGTTGTTCCTGGCCTCCTGGGGCCTGAGGAAGGAGGCCTTGCACTGGAAAGCACCTCTCACTTAAGGGCCAGCAAGTCACAGCGCCCGTGGAAACCTTTGCACTGTTCTTTTATTTCCTCTGTCAGAAAGTGCAGAAAACAAGCTGCCATTTTCCAAGAGCCACCTTGAGTCTAGCGAGGGGCACCTTGAATCTAAATACGGTTGAGAGCCACTGGTAAGGGAGGATACACTTGTGTGGGGAGCAGGGGTGGGGCAGGCAGGGAGCAGACGCATGCATGGGTATGGGTGAAGCATGTGGGGCACAATTTGAGACCTTGGGCAGGGATACCCCCTGCCCCTGAACTGGCCAAATAATGTGACTGCTCTTTTCCTCTGTCGTGCCAACTGTCCCAGCTGATAGTGCTTTAAAGTAGGAAGCTTGTTTGGCAAGGTGGCTCGCTCGCTGTGGGAAATCTGCGGAGCAGTTTTGCAATCCACAACAGGATAATTGCGAATGTTGACGGAAAAGCCATGGCGGATTGTGAAACCAGGGAATCGAATTCAGTGCGAGAGCCTCTTTAATGATAGGCTTTGGACTTTAAATAAAATGCCTCCTTTAATTGGGATGATGTAGTCACATGTTGCAGTCCTTTGTTGCATGTTCCCATGGCTTGAGTCATCCGTAGGCAGGAGGAGAGGCATGCTCTGTCCAGAGGACACTTCATTGTGAAGTGCTTCGTGCTTTGCAGATGGAAAACAGAAGATGTCTGAGAGGACTAATGGAAGGGACACAGGGGAAGCAGAATGGGGAACCTGTCTCAGGCACTTCTGCCCTTCCTGTCCTCGTCCAACCTGCAAAAGAAAACACTGGGGTCTGTCCCAGAGACTACTACTGATTCCCATCTTTTCGAGGCTCCCCTGTCACCTTAAAGTTTCACAGTCCCATTCTGTTTAAATTTTACCTCCCTTTACAATTTCCCTGCCCAAGCAGCTGCCAATCTGCCTGTGTAGTTTCCACCACCTTTTCTGCCCTAACTGTACGTAGGGTGGCCATCATAGAGGACAGTCCAGTTGTCCTCTGTCCTCTATTGATACGAAACCAGGTGCCTTTATATCCTCTCTCTTTCTCTTCAAGAGGAAAAAGAGAGGACATAAAGGCGTCTTTCTTTGTATCAACAGAGGACAAAGTAGCAGAAAACTGGAATGTCCTCTGTGATGGCCACCCTACCTGTACGTCTACACCAGTGTTATTGCCTACTTACACCCAGCTGTTCCTCCAGTAACTTTAGGCCTTTGCTCTTCTCCTTTAAAAGTGCTGAAAGGCTGGGGAGTCCTCTCTGCTAGTGTCTGACCACAGATTTGGTTAAAGGAAGAAAGTGAACCTTTTTCATGAGAAAGAGATATATGTGGCCTTGAATTGTTGAGCACTTTCTTATTCTTCATTTCTCCCAGGGAAAAATGTGGTGGCACAACAGCTCTCTCCAGCTGGGAGTCAGTTTCTCCATCTGAGTGTGAAGCCTTTATTTCAAATGAAATGTTCCTGCAATACCTGCACAAAACCAGTAGCAGTTACTCCATATTCCTTTTCTCTCTTTCTGGAAGCAACAATAGAGGCTCCTATGTCTTTTATTTGTGCAGGTAACAAGTGTAACTAAATACTTCCATGTTCAAGTGCCAAGTGTTTTTCAGGTGCCAGCACTATCTGAAGAGGCAACATTTCTCTATGTGTTGCATTTAATTTGTATATATATACATTGGTTCATGCCGTTGTGTACTGAGTAATTTTGCTACCTTCCAGGAAAATGCTGGTTCAGAAGTGCAGAGCTCAGCAGCTTTATCAGTGAGACCTGTTGCACCTTTTTGTGGCAGCCAGTTGGTAGTTCTAGGCTGGTAGTAGCGGTTTGGTGTCTTCAGAAATTTTGCTGGTGAGCCAGCTTAGTTTGAACTTATGTTAATTACTAAGACAGTTTGCTGACATGTAAATGTATTTCTAAACAAATGCTGTATTTTAAGAACATTTGTTAAAGGTTATCATATTTGGACTTATTTAAGCAACTGCAAAAGTCCTAACAAAAGTGATTTATGGTGTTTTGCTGTCAGTATTGTGGAGTAGTGCAATTCATCTCACTCAAGTGTGGCATCTCATTCAACATTATCTGGATCAAGAGTGAATTGAACAGAGAACAATTCAAATAGTAGCTTATAATTGTAATTTATGGAGATTAGAAGTTCCTTAATAAAGTACATTAACCTTTCTTTAGCAGAGTTGTACTGGTGCTGTTGTCATAGCGGTCCAGGGAATATGCAAGGAATAAGTTTTGTTTGGTAATTTTTTTTTCCCAGATAACTTTGTAGTTAAAAGAGAATCCTTTTCTCAGCTCATTCTAGGAGAAAGCTTAACAAGTTGGAAAATTGCAAAGATATCTATCTAATAGCTGAGAATTTTCAAAATTCACAGCAAGGAGGTGGTTCTTTTTTATTTAAGCTGAAAGCTAATTTAATGTAAATGATATTTAAAATCAAAATATCACACTATCAAAAAACCAAGCTGTTGAGCCTCTTTGGACTTTCTAGGATGGGTGTGGCCTTGTCTCAGTTCCTAAATGAAAGTTTTGATTTCACTTTGCAGAGCTGTAGATTGCTCCAGTATATTCCTCCTCTGGCCTGACAAAAATTTGTGGTAGAGGAGAGTCTTTGTAGGCTGCATCCCACTGTAGAGCCCACTGGGAACTATTCAGTGAAAAATATTTGATTTGTTGAAGCCATACCAGTTTTGACAAAATGTTCATCAAGAAAGAGTTCTCACTGTGCCTGTACACACATGCATGTACCTGTCATCCCAGAAGAGCCACCACCTTCTGGGCAGGTTCCTCTTCTGGAATGTAGGAGCTCCATCTTCAGGTCCCTGCTCTTCTACTCCCCTTCACCCTAGGTTAGTACCCCAACCACTTTCTCTAAAATCTAAATCACTCCTGTGGGAGCCAGAAAGAGTCCCCATAGTCCAGTCATTAGAATACTTGCCTGGGATGTGAGAGACTGAGGTCGCTGGTCTGAATAAGACAAGAGAAGATACTTGCAGCTGTGTGTCCCACACTGAAAGGAGTGCCCTATTCACTAAACTCTTCTGTGGTGTGTGAAGGTCTTTATCTTTTCCTCCTCAAAAAAATGATAGAGGGCCTTGGTTTCACTTCTATGCAGAACAGAAAAACTCAGCGTATTTTGAAATCCTGAAAATGGTATGGAGAAGTTGTTCCCCTGTATGAAAGTTCTTGAAAAGTGTGTCATTATAGATACTGATCATTATGGACACACAACAATGGACATAGCATGCTTAAGTTGTAGCGGTTCTCTAGATAATAATCGCTGATGTATAGAATTCAGTGATGCTGAATGATAGCCATGAACCTCAGTGAGCTGTTTCACCAGAGTAACAACTTCTTTGATAGTCCCTATCATAGATGGAGCTCCGTCAGTCTTTTGTCGGCACAGTTAGCTATCATAAAGATGGAGCTGATTTTCAACAACGTTCTTCAGTTTGGCCATTGTTCGCCTCTGCAGTTATCTGTTCATGCACTGCATTATTATGGGATATTTCAAAACCTTCCCTGTTATTGCATGAATAACTGGTACCACACAGGCTGTATCTTTGTTCACAAAGATCTGTAAAAAAATAAATCTGGATATTTTTTCCAGATCTCTTTGGACCAGCATACATTGTTGCCACTCTGTATTTAAAATGGTACTTGATTTGAAATCAAGCTTAGGTGGCATTCTGAATGATAGGCTTTAATTCAGATGCACAGATTATTACACTTGATAATTTAATTTGCATAGCTGGAATAAATAACCCAGACATCAGCAGATGTCATTGGGAGAGCTGTTTTGGTCTGCATTAATGCAAGTCAGATGGCTGATTATAAGGATCCCTTTAGGTCATAAGATCTTGAGTCCTACTGGGACAGGACACAGCAACTGCTTCGTTCTGAGTGGATTCAGATTGCAGTTTCTGCCTTTCCTCAACAGTAGTTAGGTATTAACCAGGCTTGACCAGTGACTTGAGTTTGCCATTTTGTGACTGTTTTCATCCTGTGAATTAACCAGTCAAATTACTCCAGAGTAAAGTATCTTAGGTGTATTTAACAACCCCATCAGGTAAAATTTTGGCCATTCCCTT